GCATGACTTTTACCGGCAGTATGGGCGGCGTCAGGCGGACACAGATCAATGCCATTGGCGGGTATGCAATGGCTGCAGTTGGCGTTGTGGGGGCGGGGTCAACCTTGACCAATCGAGTAGGCTGGATTTAACGTTCATGGGTTAGGGTTATAGTCGCTGCGTCTAATTATAATACATCTAACTATAAATATGACAATATAAGCAGTCGACTCTACGTGCTACCTTTGATTTGAGAGGATGATATCCCTTTATTGGTTGGTCTCTAAACTTCAACTAGATTACCTACATGCGTTGTCGATCCTTCTCTCGACCCATGATAATTCCATTGTGCTGGTCTATACGGATGATTTTGTAGAGATATACTAGAGATCTTCTGTGAGCTCTGTTGAAGGAGATCCCTGATCCATTGTACTTGCCTTATCCATTGTACTTGCTTACCAGCAAAAAAGCCAGAAGATGCGGTTACTCAAGGCAAGAATAGTTTGTATCGAGTGGTACTGTTCTCTGATACAAATAATCGCTGTTTCCGTCACTTGGATCTTTTGGTTCTTTTGCTGGTAAGCAAGTACTATTTGAGGGCTCTGATATATATATATATATATAGCGCTACATGTAATAGGTGGATCAGCGCGGCGCCGCGGCCAACAAAACCCATTCATCGATCACGCGTACATTGTGAGAAAGGTGTATCAACAGCCATCGGAATTGCTTATGTAAAATATTTGCTTGTAAAGTGACTTCTTTACAAAGTAGCTTGCATGCATATGAGCCCTAACCCTAACTACTAGTTACGCTCAGGAATCAAAAGGGAATTCAACCTCGGTGATCTCCTAATAATAGACCCCCGGGGCTCGAGAAATGCACTGCAGATACCATTAGATTTTTTCACTTTAGCCATATTTTGAGAGAAGCCAGGACTCTCCCGCCGACGTCTCGACGTAAAGATCCAGGGGAGTTTTACGTATGTACATATGTAGGGATCGGTGCATGGACTCGGATTCGGAGGAAAAACGGTCGGTGGATATATTTACACAAGCCATCGCTAGTTGTAAATGCACCTATGCATCATTAAAGTTTGTGCTCTTTATCATTTTACTTGTATATAGGAGAAAGGGGCCGGTAAACAATCCCTAGGGTACCAACTTTGTTAGGAATCGGGATAGCACATCCCCGGGGTCGGGATAGGTTATCCTGTGAGAGGATAAGTTTGAGTCATTTGGGTGTTTTAGGATCCCCAAGCATCAAGTAGCTAAAATAGGAGATTTCGCTCTTATTTGGATAAACTATCCCCACAAAGGGATATAGTATCTTTACTATAGGATACTGTATTCGGGGACAGCTTATCTTTTCCCGTGTATATATATCCTTTCATGTGGATATAATCTAATATCCTCTGATAAGGATATGGATTTTCACATAGAATAAAATGTTCTCCTGCTTGTAGTATTTCGCATCCCTAGCAATTTTGGACTTGGACAAATTCGCTTGTTTTTTTTTTGGCTGTCGAATTTTAAAACCAAGGTTGATATTGGCAATTTGTACTAGTTTTGTATCTAAACCACTATCATAGTTGGTAACATCTGCTAGATCCAATCGCCAATGCCTAAGTTCGATTCCCCTGTATATTTTTTAAATCTAGGTTCTTGATGATATCCCCTACGAAGGGTAAGGTATCCCCTACCAGTCAGAACATCTCCACCCCCATGAAATATCTCTCCTTAACTGGGGATATCTTATCATATCCCGGTAAAAAAGGATAACCTATCCAGCAAATCGACGGGTAGTACCCAATAGTTAAGATATCACATCCTACCTGAGAGGATTGGGCATCTCTCTACAGGAGGATATCATATCCCACTTCGGAGATGAAAACAGTACCCTGCCTCCGGGGATGAGTTATCCAGTACTTTGTCATCTAGGGCAATGGATTTACCGGACTATTGGAGGGATCGGAGCTAGTTGCATTCCGGTTATAATCGAGAAGTTAAGTAACTTGTTATTATTAATTCATGTATTGTTCCAAGTACAATCGATACGTGGTACTACATAGGCTGGACTTAGAATATATAATTCGACGTAGCATGCATATAGCGTGACTAATTGGAAATAAGTTCAACAACATGTAATTCTGGATTTCTTTCCCCATTATGGTTTAGCAAGCTAGCTTAAGTGCCCACCTCTGTTGCAGATGATCATGTGCGACATTTAATTAAGAACAGTATGTAACTAGAAGCCCCCAAGTCTAGGAGCCCTGGTAGAGAAATATGTATATACCCACATATACATGTAACTAAGTACTTGTATTTTTCTGATGTTTGTGGACGCGACCGATATTGCATATCGTACAAGAATACACCAAGCTCATGATTTTTGGTGTATGCAATAGTGGCCCAGTTCAAAAACGTCAGGAAGATACGAGTAGAGTAGGCAGTAGAAACGCCACCTCGAACTATATGTATGACGTGGAATACAGCAGTCTGGTATATAAGCCCCTCCTAGTTGAGTTACCCCACTCTAGTAAAAGCCAACTACGGCAAAACGATATCTGAATTCATTACCAAAAACTTTGCAAAGTGCCGAGACCAACATGACCACGTAGTAATTGCAGCTAATTCTGTAGCCCAAAGATTTATTTGTGAATTGGACCAACACTTGGTACGGTGTAGGAAGGTCGCTAGGCAGAGGACGGGTGTATAAAACCCTCCCAAGCCCACGGCTATCTCAGCTGAAAAGTTGAGCACATAATCATTCCACCACAGAGTAGCAAGCATGCACATCTCGGTTATCTCCGCCTTAGGCCTACTTCTTTTCTATGCTCACGCTACTATAGCGGGTGTTACTAAGTACGTGCTCTCCCCTCTACCCCCTCTCTTACACTAGCTAGGTCACTGCTGGAATAAGAAATTCGAAGAGTCAAAACAACTAAATAGAAGTTACCTACAGACGTGGCAGCATTGAAGAATGGGAGGCTCGTGCAAAGGAATGCTTCAACGCAAATACGGCAGACATATATTTCGAAGGAAGCTCAAGTATTCCGGATTATTGTGATTTGCCCGACTATGGGGTTGGTTTAAGCGGGGGTGGTATGGGTGCTGTTGAGCGTCTATTGATGGAGAACGGAGCGCCTGCGCTGAGGGGAAGTTGGGTTAATGCTTTTTTTGTTACCATCGCGGCGGGGGTTTTCATATATATATAGGAATGTATTGAACAGTGTAATGTGTCATGGATTATGATTATGATCTAATAGCACCCTCACCAGCATCGGATAGCATCAAAGCTTTATTTTACTTTTTACTAGGATTGATATGAGTTAGTTGATGCGCTGTTGAGGAATATATGCGTGGAGTAAAGTAATATTTCTCGCCTCAAGTACGTCTACGCAATTTGATGTAATCACAGTGCCGATATATTAAGCAAAGCTAGGACATCTGTAGACATCAACACCAAAATTAAAAGCACACCCACCTTTTGTGATTTTAGGATAAAGCCGATATACAATTATTGAGTTAAAGAAAAAAAAGAAAGAAAAAAGAAAGAAAAAAGCGATAAAACCAACCTGGGTGATATCATGAATTACAGGGATTCCAAGTATGGCGAGAAACAGTCAAGCAACAGCCAAGCTGCGAGATCTCCAGTTCTTTTGATTTCTATTGGCCGAAGCCCCCCTGTTCTTCAATCAGTAACGCCCCTCCAGCCGGTCAAGGACTGTTCGTGCTTAACTAATAGATTACTGATCAATGAATCTCTCCTACTGAGCTCCGGATATGGCGGTGTATTGGCAGATATTGCATGAGTGCGGACTAATTAAATGTTCACCACACCACTATCGACCGATCTGGCCATATACTTAGTCACCCTTTATCCAAACGTGCGTATACTACTACTGCCTGGCTAGGTTTCTAGATCTGCTAATAATCGATCTTCTCGACTTTTACTACGACTACCCGGCCCTTAACTCTTCGATATAGACATAATATCTTTTATACCCGGCACCAGCCCCTCTCCGCGTACAGCTTACACAACCAAGCCCACCAAGGTTGCCCTATGTACTGATATTCTTCGCGAGATTAGTGTATTTCGAAACTTTGTCGGAGGAACAGCCCACTCGGGAATATCGTGGCGCCTCGAACGCATATGACCTGTTGCTTTAATTTAGTAAAGCTCGAGTCTCCAAGAGGAATCCATTCGGGAACCGAGCACACATGTACGCACAACATCTGCAACGATGTGGATACAATTAAATGCTAGGCCAATACAAAACTCGGAAAATAGGTAAACAAGGTTATTAGGTAATTAGAAACCTTTAATCCTACACAGCGGGTGAACAGACATCTAGCTGTGACTTGGTTGGTCTCTTCGCGATTACACGTATCCCTCCGGCCATGGCACGCTCTAAATGCCCAAATTCGGATGCAAATACATACATATACTTATACATGTACATACTACACAGAAGAGATTACTACATGCGTATTTTCTTGAGAAGAATTTGAAAATCAACACAATACACTTCATGCCCGCCGCCCACGTGCATGTTGCACCACTCCAAAGCGCCTGTTGACACCTTTTTGTACCTGAAAAAGAAAGTTCCCAGTCTGGCCAAAGGTGTATCAAAATTTAAAACTGCACCTCTATTGGCAGAAACTCTTTTCGTGGTGGTCCTCAGAGCAGTGGAGTTCCAGAGGTGTCCGACTTTCCCAATCCAGCATTTCGAACTTGATCGTGAATCTCTGCACCCCTTGTGGGTGCTTCATTCCACCTACTTTAGGCCTTTAATGTGCAAGCTCTTTTCACAACAGTAATATTGGAACTTGTGATCGCGGTTATGAAGGTGTAATTAAGCCTTACCCCCGGCCCTCGCATAAGCATACAAACATCACTCCCGCCAAGTGTAAATAATATATATTGACAACATCATGACTAAGGACAAACTCCCAGATATCATCATCATATCCCATATCATTCAACCAGGGCATAAAAACCCAGTTCCTCACCATCCCTCACAAGAATCTCGCCTCAATCACCACCGCAACACCAACAACCCAAGCCACCCCACCCCCCACCCTCCCGGCCCCACCCACCAAGCCGGCAGTCCCACCATCGCTACTGCTACCACCACCACTACTACTCCCCTCCGACCCCGACCTATCACTACCCACCGAGCTAGAGCTCGAGCTCGACGATCCATCACTACTAGTATTATCGTCATATATATAACTCGAGCTACCACCCTCAACACTCGCAGTAGTCGAGGCACCAGACATATCTACGCCGTAGTTCGTTTCCTTGCAGTACGACGGCGTTTCGGAGCCCTCATCGCTACTAACGAGGTTGGAGGCGGAGGCGGCGCTGCATCGCCGCTGGCGGGTATTGAACTCTGCAACGGCGGAGTCGGTGGCGGGTGTGCGTCTGTAACAGTGGTGTATAGGTTAGTGGGTGTCACTTCCGCTAGGGCTCCCGGTGATGGTCTTTTCCCGCTTTATGCTTTTTCTCGATGGGTGGGAGTTGGTGGAGGAAGGGGGGTATGAGATATATTCACTTGGGCAGATCCCCGGACATGGCCGCTGGCCAGTGCGCATAGAAGGAATACCGTGGGAAGGACGGAAACGGCGGGGGTGCGCATTGAGGGCGAATATTGTGGGTCCTGATTTATTTGGATGTGCTCTAGCTGGGGTTGGGGTTGGGATACGTATACGGGGAGGCCGGAGGGGTTTTATAATTCGGGGATTGTAAGACATGGTTGGATTTAAGCATAACTACATGTATATATTGCGACTCCAAGGCGGTCCAGCCGCAGCGATATCTTGCCCAAGGTTGACCGGGAAAAGATATTTCGGAACCAAAATGTGCCTTGGAAGCTTGGAGGAACATACACATATACGGAGAGGGCCCAAGATGATTGAGAGACGGCCCATTCCAAGTGTACATGTATATAGGCCGTTCAACGAAAAACCGGATCATCTACCAACACAGTGCACGGTTCCGACGAACTTCCGGGACGCTCAGTCTCGAGTCAGCGTTTTCTGCAACCTGCCAGTCATCTGGATTAAGTCGTACTCTGCCACATTTATTCCGTACCACATGTACATACATAGATCCAAGCCGCGGCGCCGTTTCCGTTACTGCCATACTGATATTGCAATCTCTACGGCCGGCGAAGAACCCTTTTGCCGTTATCAATGCTGACTGTAGTCGAATTGCGCACCTCTTCTTCGTGTTGTGCTACGTTCCGCGCTGTCTTTTGTGGCGCGGTTTGTTGGGTTGATAGTTGTGGAGGCTGTGGTGGGTGATATTTCGGTGGGATGTGTGGGAGATCTTTATACGGCTTGCGGTAAGATTATTGTAGAAATGCGGGAGGGGTCCTATTGGCTTGCCCAGCCACAGAAACCATGTTTTTAGACACCTGTTTCTACCTCTCGCTGTACAGCCATGGGAGAATTGGTACTGCTGCTATTGACAGGGTTTGTGGCTATGTTTGGTGAAGCGAGTGGGGGATTCTAGGGTTTGAAGTTTGTGGGCTCTGCTGGCTGGGTGGAGTATGGCAACGTTTCTGTTACGAGCTGCGATTCCTGCTCAGAATGGTTGGCCCAACCACCTTGGCGGTATTTTAGTTAAAGGCTTAATTCCAGCTCTCTGATTCTTAAAGAGTATGGTATTTTACACAGCAGGCGTACATACATGCCTTCTCGATAGATATCCCTTTGAAATCAACTATCCCCGTATTCGACAAACCCCCCCTTCTGAAATGTTTCCGTCACTCTAAAGCCCACCATTGACAAACCCAATATTATGTAATTATGTATTATCATTGTTACAGACATCACGATAACACGCACATAACGTAGAGCAGCGGGGGGTCAACTCTAGGATCGATACCAGTCTTGCCTTGAGAACGCATTCCAGGCTATCTGTCAAGAAGAACCCTTGCGCTGGAACGACTGGCGCGGAGATGTCCCCAATGCTACGACCGTGGTGGTACAGGTGTGAGAGGGAGTGGCTAAATAACGAGACCGCGTGCCAAGACTGCTCTCGTCCGAGTGCTGGCTCATGCAGCCAAGGGATCTATGGTGGGCGTGAACAGAATGCCTCCCTCATAACAACCACAACACTCTACATACCTCGAACAGTCCTCAAACATCCGAAACACCGTGAGTATTCTCTAATACAGTTACGTCAACGCCAAAGACCCGCACATACCTACTCGTCTGGGCATTTTTCCATATGCGCTCCCCCCCATTGGCACAATTCCGGTACCACCACGAAAAAGCAGGTATCGCAACAGATTTCTGAGCGCTCGGAATTCTAAAGTTTGTACTAGCGCAGGGTGAGGCTCTCCAATAACGCACCCGATGGCGAGTGAGTGGTGTCAAGCAGACAGAGAAGGAATCTACTCTAGAGTCTAGACACCTCTTGGCAGCCTCCATTCTGTGGCTTAAATGCAACGTCCAGGAAGAGCAATGCTGTCCCTGCCAAGTAGGTGAGTGTTCAGCTCGTCGTTCGGTGTGTGTGGTTCTGGCTAGCAGGGATGTTGACGGGGTGTTGTGCTGTTGGCATGTGCAGAATTCCTCGAGGTGCAGAACGGGAGATAGACATTGGTTGCTCCACAACACCCACATACATACCACCGCCAATTAAGGTTGATATACGGTATGTCTTTAAATTTACTCACGACACGACGTGAGATAGGTGCACACGCCGGAGTTTAAACAAGGCTGCCCTCCGCTGTTTACGTTACTAATATATACATAGGTTTCCAGAGAAGCACCCCCGGTCTGGCAGGCTTCTCTACCAGGGAGAGTTACGACTGATATGACCACTGGGACGGGCATAAGTGATACGCTATCGACAGACATCGAAGTTTGACACATATTGGGGAACTGTTGATCTGAGTTTCTGTCATCTGGGTATGTTGGCTGTCTGTTCCCCCTGCCCGATCACTGACTTGTCTGATGATCTTTGCGACTAGCAGGTCCTAATTCATCTCCATTAGGAACGCCGATATCGAGAACAATGTATTCACAGTGGACTAGTCATTCGAGTATCGAAATCTCTATTTATGGTATATATAATAAAAGAAAGGAAGCCCTCCAAGTAAAGACAAACGCCGTCGCCAAACCCGTCCATGAACCCCAACCGATAATGCAATACAGCCGTGATAGAGACATATCCAACGCGCACATCACACTACATGATATCTAAGCACACATCATCCCACATATCCCATATCTAAACCACAACCATCACCGCCACCGCCATCACCGCCGCAAACACCACTCCCGCCGCCCTTCCAGCAGCGCCGTTCTCATCGTTGCCCGACCCCGACCCGGAACCCAAAGACCCGCTGCCGCTCCTACTTACCTCCGGACCCGTGCCCGCCGTCGTGTTGCTCACAGTGTGGTTCTCAAACTTGGGCAACCACGTAGCCAGAGCCTTATTCCACAACTCAAACGCCGGACGACCGCTCGCATTCCAGCCACGACCGAGATCGGGGCAATGTGCACCACCCTCGACGACCATTCCAAAGACCGTGTCGGTCATAACCTGTCCGGCTGCGGGGACGACCTCAGTCCTCGGGCGGCCCTTGGCCTCGGCGACCGGACTATTGACGGAGGCGCCGATCCAGGGGTCGAACTCACCGTCGACAAATAGGGTGTTGCTGCTGGCCATGTTCCAGCCGCCGTATTTGCGGACGAGGTCGCGGCCGGGCGGGGCGGTGATGTTGAAGCTGTTGAGGCACCAGTACTCGCGCATGTACTCGTAGCTGTTGTACTTGCGCGGGTAGATGGAGTCGCCCGTCGGTGGCACGGTCAGCAGGAGGCCAACGTCGGTGCACACCTGGTACGCCCAGCTGGTGATCAACTTTTGCACAGCCTGCCGGCATGTATCGGGGTCTGCGGCACAGGGCGGATACTCGTCCCCCTCGTCGGTCTGCTGGCGTGCGCTCAGTCTCCCGCTCTCTGCTCCTCCGCGCTTGTGCAGAATCTGGAGGTAGTCAAGACTGCGCGGGCCCAGGAGATTGTCGATGTCACGCTTCGACTTGTTGCCGCCGCTCAGGCGCAGCATGCGGTCGGCGGTCTGTCCGGCGGCCCTTGCGAAGGTTGTGACCGCGTTCTCGGCGGTGAGGGTGCCAAAGACGCCCCCAGTCGAGTTGTTGCTGGCCTCGCCCATGAGCCCGCAAAAGTACTGGAAATCGTTGCGGGTGTAGGGCGACTTCTGGAAGCCCACGCTCTGGTACTCGGCGAGCATCGCGCGGGTCACATACGTGACCTTCTCCCCCAGCAGGAATGGCTCATTCTCCGTCCCCGCGGCCTCCAGAACGTCGAGGTTCAGCGCCTTCGCCACGGCCTCGCTCGTGCCGTTGAACACCTTCAGCCAGTCCATGATCTTTGACTCGTCGTCGGTGTCATCGATCCACTTGGCCATGGCCACCAGGTCGTCCGCACACGGCTTGAAGCCGTTCTCGCGCATCGCCTTCAGCTGCAGCTCAAAGTACCACGGATTCTGCGACGCCGACTCGACAACCGCACTGCTGGCCAGCGACGCATACCAGATCTCAGGGTTACGCTTTCGCGCCCAGGCCGCGCGGGCGCCGGGGTAGCTGCCGCCGACAAAGATCCAGGGCACCTGGCCGGGCGAGGTGACTGCGTTCTTCCACTTGAAGGTGCGCGCAAAGACGGCAGCGTCCTCGAGCGCCTGCTCGACGGTGAGGAAGCTGAGGTAGCCGGCAATGTCGTCGGGGCTGATGGTGGCGGGGAGTGTCGAGGGATACGACTTGCCGTAGAAGCGGTGCTCCCAGACGATCATGGGGGCGTTGTTGACGCGGGCGTGGGCGGGCTGGTGCGAGAGGCCGATGCTGGCGACGGTTCCGGAGGCATCGGTTTCGCCGACGTCGAAGACTAGATCCGAGGTCAGTCAGTATGAAATGTTCTATATATATATATCGGGGGAGGGAGGAGGGGAAAGAAATACACATGATCGGCCCGCCAGGCCTCCAGAATCGGTCATCGACCCAGTACCGGTTCTCGAACGTGTCGGTCGTCGAGCCGTTGTGGTCCAGGGGAAGGGTGATGTTGAGCGCGGTGATGTTTGAAAAGTTCTCGAGGGGCGCGGTGTAGACGTCCGACTACGCAGTGATGGGACTACCAAAGTCCCATTTCGGCACAGCTGATGCTCCTGCGAGCGCCGCCGTGAAGAGGAGAGGAAGGAGTTGCATTGTACAGTGCTGTGCTTTGCTGTGTGTATACTGCTGTGGATGGATGGTGAGAGGTGGCCGTTCAAAGGGCGGGCACAGAGCATGTATTTATCGCGTCTAAAGATTCGATACATATCTCGAGATGTCATGAGTGGGCTTAATCGGATCAATGTCAAAATAGCCTCCAGCCCTACGGCTCAGCCAGCAGCCAGCAACGGGCAGCATGGCTTCCCTCCAGCAGCAGCAGCAGCAGCAGCTAGTATGCATACCCAAGCTTACTGTGCCGGGAGTGGAATGTTCTTGTCTGGGGCTCAGAGGTATCCTGGCAAGAGCATATATCTGCTAAATGTAAGGAGCTAGATCCAATGTCCAGACTGGCTGGGGCCGTTACTGGGTGTCTCAGTCCTGGAGCTGGGATTGGGGGCATCTTGCATATGTCCTAGATCCACGGGAGTGCAAGATCGGGAGAGGAGAGGGATTGGGCCGGGGGAGTGGCACTGCCCCGGGTAGGGTTATTTCCAGCCTCACGATGGAGAAGGTGCTTCTGTGGGATGCTGTTGGAATGTATTTTAGGCTTCACTATCCTCCATAGAATTAGTGGACACAGCGATCGATCATGTAGAGAGTGCAGTGACTAATCGGCAATTACGAGTACTAGTACATACCACGCGATTCACTCCAGATTGCTGTAGAGTATTTCTCGTTGAATTAATCAATTATCTCAAACCCTCAATGTCGCGTTCAGTTGTTGCGAAGGAGAAAGCCAAACCCATATCGAACCACGCCAAAATCCCACTCTTGGATCATTGCCTCCCCGCCAAGCCCTCCGCTGGCAGGGTTAAGACTTAAGAATAGAGTGTGGCTGGTGAGTGAGTGGCGGTGCGCTCAATCTTGTCACCGAGACTGTATGTACTTACTGTACTCTAGAGAGAGGCGGAATACAGACCTCTACCTGTATATTTCAAAACTGTCCTCTCCGCGATGCCGCAAATAGTACTAGACTACCTTCCCGCCCCCCACGCGCAAATGCCAGCATTCCTTCCATTTCATGGGATGTACATACATACATGTACAATAGCATTCATCACTTCGCGCCCAGTTGGTACATACAAGTAGTGCTTACTATCCAAGCGGAGCTAGGTAGCACTAGCCGAGCGAGGTGTTTAAATTCCAATTGGCTCAGGCCGGATCCAGGAATGCTGCCGAATGGAGGTCTTCAGCTGCAGTTTGTCGCGGAGTAGGAGTATAGTAGTTGGAGGTTTGGCTTGTAATTGGCTTTAACTACATGACAGGTTTTATCATGGCTCGCAGGAGTGGGGCATGGGGGTGGTTTTGGTAGGTAGCTAGGGTGGTACTGTTTATTCGGCCTTGCCGAGTATATGTAGGCCCGGCAGTGCACGCGAAGAGTACTTGACCGGAGTATGGTATGATCGTGGTATTGTGATTCCAGCGCGGGGGGTAATTCATGATAGATCAATCGATGGACCGTGGCATGTATGTGAAATTTAATTGGGGGAATTGGGAAGTGTCCAGCTCGGAGTTAACGATACAAGTATATTGTGGATGTAGCCCTAACCTATCCCCGATACATTGCCTGATGCGTTCACAATTACGCATACAATTGTTAACGCGTGGAAGTTGATACATTTAATATTTGCGGATTTATTCCTGTGCGCTAGAAGTCACCTCAAGCTCGCCTTTCCGAGTGATCGGAAGAGTGACGTTGGGCGCCTCCCTATTCAACTGTATGCCTGAAACCGGCCCGAAGAGTAGATACCCGTGTGTCCCCCCGTCAACTCTAACAAAAAAAAGAAGGCAATCATATCCCGACTCTTATTAATCAATTATTGGGATCCGACAACGAAATCGTCATTGACCAGACGAGAAGTAACGTGCATGATTATTCAAGGTACTTAGGGTTACATCTAGGAGCTCGATGTTGGCATGGTCGTTTTCTAGGCCCATCTAGGTTTGAATCCTCCTCTTAGGGTGATCCGTATAGTATGCGACGGGACCTGCCCCTCTACTCTACATGTATGATTATTGTGACAAAGGTTCTCCTGATTTTGTACAAGGGTGGGTCATGAAACGACTATAACTCCACGACCTCAAAAGATATAGAGAAGATATTAACGATTGCTGACTTTAAGGATTAGTCTTTTGTGTAATTCCTGCTAGTTACTATGCGAAATGCGAGAAGTTGTCACCCCCAAATACTATGAGGATATATTAGATCAAACCCCGCATGAACGCACCTCGAGTGCAGGTACTCTAGAAATGTCATCCACCAAGCTAGATAACGGCTACTGAATTAATGAAGCTTATCCGAGCAACCAGGGATAAAATTGTACTCTACTACGAGTGGAAATGCACCAATTAGCACATTTCCCACACAAAAGTTTGGGAAAAGGCATATGGAAATGTGCTTACAGGGGTACGTCTGTTGGAAATGTATACCTTTGTCCTTTTACATCCCATTTACTGTGCCTTTTCCCGCTGCCGATTCCATTGACATGCCTTTTCCTGTGCATTTTCCCATTGTCGATCCCTGGCTCCCATTTATGCCCTATTTGTGTCCATTTACTGTCCATTTACTGTCCATTTACTGTGCCTTTCCCCTCCAAAATTCCTTTTCCCTCCAAAATTCCTTTTCCCTTTACTATCCCTTTATCCTCCCTTTTCGGTCCCTTTAATATTTTTTGAAAAATTACCACATATATTCCTGGGCCTATAGATGTTCCAAAACGGTCATCTACATCAATTCAGCTAGTATAGTTGATATAGTCCTAGCTATCTCAGCCTAAGGTAGGAGGTTCAACCCTTATCTAGGTAATGATATAGATAGACATCCATATATTTTTCGGTTTTTTTTTGACAAAATTCGATTGAGGAAATGGAATAATTAATGGATGTAGATTGAATGTAAATTAGATGTAAAAGCATGCCATTGCACTTAAAACCAATTTCCATCCCTTTTCCCCCGGTGCATAGTGGCACTGGATTACATGTAATTGAATTATTTCTACCACACTGGCTTTAATTATTTCTGCCACACGATTAATCAATTATTAATTCTACCGCACTGGCTTTAAATTTAATATTTCCACCACACGATTTAATCATTTCCACCATACAAAATTTGATGCATTTCCCGATGCATTTCCCTACCAAAAATTTGATGCATTTCCTGATGCATTTCCGCTCGTAGTAGAGGTAGTACTAAAGATCCTAACCGTAACTAGATATCATGGGGAAATAGTGTGGCGCAGGGAAGTCTTGAGCTATAAATAGACAATATCGTCTCCGGCTTTATTATTCAAGAATGGGGTTTACTTAGCTTTACGACCCTTGACTTCGATGCTCTTTCGGCTTTTCTGCACGTATTGCCAGCGCCTAAATACACAACGTTAGTACATCTACTCTAGATCTAGGTTGCTTGTTTATCATGGCTGTTAGATCTAGAAGAGGGCATTGCAACGCTATACCACACGCCACAACCGTACCGCTCGAGTGCGGCTTTTCTTTACCAAACGGGGGACGGGAGAAGAAGATTTTGAATACTAAATATGGAATCTATGGGACTAGGGTTGGTCTATTGTGGACCCCCGCCCGCAGGCCTGGAGCATGATTTATCACTCGGAAACCCGAAATCCGGATTACAAGATCTAAGCGTTACAAGAGTGGGCACCATCAAGCTACCCATGGTCCTCTCGGCCTATTAACATAGTTCAGTATGTTTTGGAGAGCTGAGAAATTATACTTAGGAATTGGGTATGTGACGTGATTGAACTCTTCAAAGGCTCTTCTCAGTCTGCATTCATAATCGCCGGAAGCCATGATCTATGACATGAAGTGTTCAATTAAAGAGAGAAACAACTATTTTTTGATAATAAAAGTCTATTTCGGGGCATCCTCAAGTGTTACAAGGCTTTGATCTTAAATCCCACGGCAGTATAAATATCCTATTCAACCCTAACCCTAGGAGAACATTAGGGCTAGATTCAGACGAATCTAATGTTCACTTTAGTGCTTTGATTTCTACTAGAGACTCGTGATCTAACGAGTGGTGTTTCTAAAACATCAATACATTGTATTACTACTGATTTATGTCACCGAGCTAGAAAGTAAGTGCATGGAATTGGTCTAGCGCCGTAACCATGTGACCGAGTGATGCTTCATGATTATGCCAAGACCTCACACGTCTTGGCGCAGGCGGCCATGAGTACAGTGTGATGAAAAGCCCACCAATTGATTATAAATACAATAGGAAACTCGCGCGGAATAGAGATACTAATATAGAGATAGGCCCCACAGCTTGCTTTACTTCTCCAATTCTCGGAAAAAAATCATCTTACTCATGAATCACATACACAACACATCCTCATCCCCCATGAACCTCGACGCGACCCCGAAGCCGGAAAACCTAGGGTAAGTGTTGGCCAGTAATCACCATGCCAATTTCACATCTAATTGCATCTTCTGTCGCTTTCAATGGTCTAATAAATACTCGAGTCCAATAAGCACGACTACATGAATCACTAAGGAGAGAAATCAGGGTTAGGGTTACTATTAATTGTTCGAAATCCTAAAGTTGATCAAGCGAGCGGCACTTAGCTTGGTTTAAATCGTCAGATTGGAGCCCAATTAGAATACATCCGTTGTTGCTAGTCGTATGTGCTGTTCTGAAGGATATATAGGATCGATGTCTAGCTCTGTCGACCAATAAGCTTCATGGATTGTCACTCGGATTATGCAGACCGCGTATACATTTGAGCCTTGGTTATATTCCATGATAGAGTTTATACCTCCGTATTTCTTGAGGCCCCTCATGATCGATACTAGTGGAGACTACATGGCGGTCTAGTTGCGGAGATGAGTACGAGAGCAACTACTGATTTTAGGTGTGATAGCAACCGAGGTCATTCGAGCGATCTTTGTTCGCTTTGCGGCGATTACTATAAATCAAAGTTTTTTTTCTAGTGATGGCTACGAGATAATACGAGACTATATTGACTTTGTCTCGTATCCTGTTGGTGAGTAATTGTAGGTCTCGAGAGTATCACGAGATGATTGTGATCTCGTATTTAATGAGAATTCTTAAACTTAGACAGAACATATATAATCACGTGACCCATAAATTTCAAGATTTTAGACTATAGATTGCCTAATATTGGGTCTGTAGGGACGAAATGAGTAGTCACAAAGTCTTGCATTATAACTCTAGCCCAACGTGCAACCTCAGTCTCGTCTAGAGATGTTTGTGCTTCTATGATAGCCGTATTGCCAGGTCTTGTAGGCAAGTATCGAGACAAGAGCCCGAGACGTCTCGTCTCGTGGCCATCACTACTCCATTCTTTGAACCATCATAGAGAATAAAATTGCAAACAATATTTATAATTGCTACATTCTCATACATAGCCCTGGATCTATAAAGATGTCGCCGGCGGTCGCGCTCGCATATCCATGAAGCCTATGTTCATTCTACCACCTGTATCCCACTGTGTTGATGCCAGGAAGTTGTGCTCTCATCAGCGAATAGTTCTTTCCATCATCTGTACCCCACTCCGAAATCTGACCTGGAGCCACCTGGGTGTAGATCCTGACCTGCGGCAGGTTTGCAGAGATCATCACCGCCGCTACACTGGACTGTGGGATGACCGTAGTCAGCTGCTTCGTCTCTCCCCAGTCATTAGTGCCGGTAATAGAATCCGTCACGCATAGCTTGTTGTCCCGGTCTACTGTATAGACCTTTCGGTTATCATCTCCGTAGGCGACACATGCAATAGATGCACCCGGGTTATATAGAAGCTGTGATTCGAAACTGCCTAATATTTATCCATCAGCATAGCTTGTGTGTGCGCGCCTATGCACATGGGGTAGTTGCTAAATACATGCCTTTCTTTTCATGATTGCCAGCTTCGGTTGGCAGCTGCTCTCTCAGCTGTGAATTATGCAGCTGGAAGATCGCTCCAGCGGGGGTCCGCTGTACTTTCTGATAAAGACATGAAAGCGCGATGCTAGTTCCAGTGATGGGCTGCATACAATAGCTATGCAGTAAATCTTTCTGTATCCACGGGGGGGTCCAATGGGCTTGGCGAACAAAGTTCTCGCGGTCTTGGTAGTAAACTCGTAGTGTGCTAAAGCTCTCGCCCGCTGCAGCTAGCTGGGTGTAATGGGCGACAGGGAACAGGCCGGTCAGCCCGCCGTTGTACCAGCCACGTTTGTCTTTATCATGGCAACGCTGAATGAAACCAAGGGTTAGAATCAGTGCTAGGGAAATGGTAGAGTGTAGATACCTCTACAAGTTTACCCCCCCTGATGTAGTACACACGATCCTGGAGGGGGAGACGGAACGATTAGCTGCCTGTGACTATGTCCCTGAGCGAGGATCGATATCTGGGATATATATGTATAAATACATTCTTCCCACTGTCGTAGGCTATAGCGGCGAGACCAGTATTGAGGTCCGCACGCCCGACGACGCCATGAGTGCCTGGATGCCATCCCTGGCGGTCGTCGTAGGAGATCTGGCCGATGTTGCCATGATCGTCCTGGTAACAGACGCGAATGTTTGTGCCCTCATCGTTGGAGAAGCTGTAGGCAGCCAACGGGGAGCGGGAAAGCATTGCCTGCATCTTTGAAGTGGCTGTTTGGGGGTTGAATTTGTAGAGCTCTGTCTTTACTTAGCTAGTAAGTAATACGCTCGCGGGCTTGAGACTGGGGTGCTTGTTTTCATTAATTGTGTTTGTTAAGTGCGGGGTAGAAATGATGATCGGCGCATGGTCACTTACCTCTCGGGGTGCATATGCGAGGGCGATTACCGCCGGATCAGCTTAGACGGTGCATCACGCTAATCTTTATTTAATTCTCGAACTCAGATAAACGCAGTTCCGCGAAACGAACTCGGTCTCTGAAGGGATCAGGCCGATATAGCTGTCTCTTGGACAAAAATATCATCTGTGGCGATAGTATGTATGTCTTTTCAGACAGGGAATTGCGGCCTTTGCATATCGGAAAAAATAATTCGTTTTTCGTTAGGCTATGAAATCAGAGCCCTAACCCTGCGTCAATCTTAAAGCCATATACACTCGCTCTCATCCATAAGATCAACCTGAAAATACAGATGCCGATAACAAGGATAATATGTATAGGGTCACTACAGTTCTCCATATAAACTACCCCTGTCTTTGTCACTTGCATTTTCAGATTCTTATTGAGGAGAGCGAGTACATATACATCTTTAGATCTCCAAGCTGTCACACTCAATACACTCTGGGTCCCGGTTTTGATGGAGAAATTATCGGTCACATCGAAATCCCCACAAGCTACTAGGCTATAACAATATTGTTATAGCTACAGAGCAGCCGGACAATAAATAGATTTTAAAAACGCCAATGACTTGAACCAAGAGTAAACAATCCCCAGCTACACAACGACCGAAGGTCTTGGCGCGTGTGCATGAGGGTCCGGAGTTTAAGTAAATCTTGGTGTTCTTACTTGTAGGCAATCATTATATAGCTTGGAAGCCAATATTGGAGAGCTTCATCTTTAATTAGACTCCATCCATGAATAACATCCGATGGTGGCTTCTGAAGCCGAGTTTTTATAAAAAGCACCATTTTCACTTATTTCTCCAATCATACACCTAGGACACTTTCTCCTGCATACACAGAACCATTCCCGAGCGGCTCGGCGGATGGAAGAGTGACTTAGAATGGCTTATTCTCCGCATATACATGATCGCCTCTCGACCTTGATCTTTAGGTGGCAGGATCGAGCGGTCCGCAACGTAATAAATACAACTAAGTTTACCCTTTGAATTACCCACTAGACTACGTAGATTCAGAGTGGCTATGTTATATATGAGCGCTCTCTCTACTTATGTAGGGGTTTTGCTTACAGACAGGTATATCTTCTATGGTAGTGGTCAGTATGTACACCTACGGAATCGTCGAATCCCCACGGCCTTAATCCCAAATTCGTCAAAACCCGGGAACATCTATATGCCTACTACAGGTTCGTACCTACCCTAGATATAACTCTATTTTAGATTGATTTTGATCATCCATACTGATTCAGGGTCCGTTTGATTTGCTTTGAACTGCTTAGAGTGGTATTAATCATAACTCAAAAAATAATGGAAATTCACCTTTGCCCCTAGTGTGAGCTGTCTCTCGAATTTCGGTCCGATAATTCACAAATAATTCTGTCCCTCGCTTAGAGAAGATGGTGCTGTCGAAAACCTTCGCCAAGCTGGTCTATCTATGTCGACAGGACCGAATGATATATATTGCTGGTTCGTGGACACATGTAACGTGTTTCACCGGGAAAGCAACCGAACCTCACAGGAGGGCATTATGAGCACCAAAGCAATAATTATGAAGCCATACATATATCGTAGAGTTTTTTTGGTGTTTTTGACAATTTTTTATGATCATATCAAGTATATACTCGCAATCTATTAGTAATGATCGTCAGAAATATTCGAAAGATATCTCAAAATGACTTTAGTGTATTTAATTCTGTAACTCTGGGTGATTTTGAATTTTCACAGCAATTCGCGATCCTGTTCATGGGAGCTGGACAGGCGAAGAGCGGTGATGGGTGGTCGAGTGATGCTATCAGGTGCTGTTTACGTTATCGGGTACACGGGGCTATCGGGTGCTGCACTTCATGTTGGTCTACTTGCACCCGCCTGGGAGGTTAGAGCCGGAGCTAGTCGGCCTCCCTCATAAATGGCGGGTTGAAGACTCACTTCCTATCGAGATCTAGAAGACTTTTGCGACATTTACTTGTGTGTAAGCGCATTTCAAAGCTTTTAGAGTGTTTTTGAACCTGCAACTACGAAGTGTATGGGGTTGTATCTTAGCACAAATGCCAAGATGGACGAGTGAGCGTTCATGATCTTTCTACGGGTTAGGGTTACTCGGTTGTGTCGACCAACCAAGGGTGAAAAGAACAGAAGATGTCTCCCGCACCGTAAAAAATCTGGAATGCTCACCAGCAACTCTCGCTCACTGCACCACAAATCTCACTGCCATCGAACACCGCCACAAGATATGCCCCCGAAGCTTTGCCGTTGTTTTCTTGCACCGCTTCTTCGGCTCCGCCTACATTGCGGCCTAGAGCTCTCAGTGATATTGTAGCTCTTCGTAAATATATCGCCTCATTCATCAAGAACCGCTACAGCAGTACTAATCAGCCAGCAGCCTCCCGGTCGTGTGGACCTGTCCCGGCGAGATTTAAAGAAACAACCAGAGAGATAAAAGCACTCCCATGATACCCCGGACGGTACATACAAGGAAATAGTACACAAACACGCTAAAGGAACTAAGATTGGCGATGCCCGGATTCGGTTCGGGAGTATCTGATGGCAGCTGAGTCTATATGGACGCCGGAAGAGATTTCAAGATCTGGATCTACTTACCTGCTAACCCGATTATTCGCTGGATTCATGTCAAAATAGATCGCTGATTATTTCGGTATCTGGAGGTGTCAACGGTGAAGTGTCTCTGGGGGTTGATAGTAGAGAAAGAGACCAGAGTTGAGCGACAGATCAGTCCACGCAGAACCCACTGGAAATCTTATTTTTGTCACTCTTTCTTCTCTCCCAGCCGTGTATACGAAAGAAGGAACTGCTTATTTGTCCGGTGCAAAGTGTGGGCAATTAGCTCATATATTGCAGGGACACGCGCCGTCTCTCCAGCAAAAGAGGACACGTTCCATTCTTCCCGCCTATCTCTGCCATCCGCATCGAAGAACGTTTTTGAAACCTCCCTCTATCCTTCTCTAATTGACTACATTTACAGGTTCTTCACCTCCTATAGCTAGTATTACTTTTTTATCGCTTCGCCCCTTCTCAGTTTCCCAACGCACGAACACCCTCTCTTCTGCAGATCCAGGCCAAAGGTTTGCCTTTACCGTGCTATATACAGAAACCTACACGCATCCTGCTTGCATCATGCGCAGATACGCTAGACACGCCCAAAGTAATATACCTCGAGGAAATGGACAATCAATTGCGAAAGAGGTTTAGATGCCTTTCCCCCCCTTATCTCCGCAATCTCTCGAACACGCTTATCTCATCTACATCTAAAAACACACCACCAAGCCGTCCCATTCACACCGACCGCCAATATATAAAACATAAGCTCACCTAACCACCACCGCCAAGCCCGCGGCGGCCAAACCCATGCACTCTTTATAAACCTGCCCATCTTCCCACACTTTCCCCAAATCACAAAGATTTCTCTATCCTCTCTTTTGGCTGACCTGCCTCCGGTCCTCCCAGTGATAGGGGGTACTCCATTAGCATCCTTAGCACTCAAGCCCCTAGTTAGAGCTTCAAAAGGCCGGGGTCAATTCCTTCTCTCTCCCCGAGAAATGGAGGGGTTAAATGCAGAACGCTCCCACGGGCGTGTGCCCGCCCTCTCTTCCTTGGATAGAAGAGAAAGAAGTGGCGCTCTCCCGGTTCCCCCTCTCCCTCAATAGGAGCAGAGGAGGGCCTCGGATCGGTTCCCGGTGTGCCCTCGCCCTCTTCCCCTGATGGGAAGAGCTCTTAGTTCTCCCTGAGGCCCTCTCTTCAAAGAGGAAGCCCACCGTTTATAGCCCTCCCTGATCAATCTTCCCCCCTCGATGGGAAGAGAGAGAAGTAGTTCGTTTATCCCATAGTCCGTTACAGCTGCCTATTGATTCGGGCGGCGTATTTCAGCTGTGGCTTGTGTCTGGATCACACACATATTCGGCTGCCACCCTTCCTCTTTTAGTAACTATAATATTCTGTCAAATAGACAGCATCTAAGCACCGGATTATGGGATACCCGGCCCCCCCCCCTCCCCAAGGGGGAGAGAGCAGGGACTCTTTTTAATATTTTTTTCCGCTTCTGGCCCTCCCTCCTTCGATCTCGAGAGAAGGAGGATCTATTTCGCCTTAGGTCTTCCCACCCGCCTGCTGTCCCCTGCCCTCTCCTCTTCTACCGAAGAGGATGGGAATTTCCACGTTAAGTCTCTGTCGGCTTCGCGCCGCGCTGTCCTACACTCTATCTCTATTAGGTGCAGGGTGTTACCGGGGGCCTGACAGCGGTAAACGGATCGGTTAGCGTCGTGGTGCTCTATCTACGCATAGCTAAGATACTTATCACCAATACCGCAAGTGTAAACTTTGTGTTTTATATGTACATCCCTTAAGGCTAGTACGCTGTGATAGGAATACTGCTAATCATAACAGAAAAAGCATTCACCAGTGAGTTTTAGATAGTCCTGACGGGACCTGGTGCCATTTTTGCGCCTTCAAATACTCTGCTTTCCGGTGTAGCTGGAGTACGTTTCGTCAGGTCTCTCGTACTTTGCTGTCTAACGCGTTTGTTCGGATTATGAATTTGTCAGAGGAGTCGCAACTTGGTCTATCCTCTCTCCTCTAGGTCTTTCTACTCGATAGCAGGCTTTTCGACGTCTACCAGAAATTGCAGCCAGACCCCTGTCACTAGACTAGTGCCAAGACAACCGAGTGAGCAATTGTGATGGCAACGCCACCCTCACTCTCCCGAAAAGCACTTCTCAAACCGTCCTTGCAATACAGGGGCAGACACGGGGCTTTTTTACGGAGTAATGTCTATCTACCTATAAACCGGGCCAC